AGAAATGAAAGGGCTCTGGCTGGCACTGGAAAACACCTTTAGAAAATGTCCTCTTAAAAATGATCATTAACATACCAGGACCAACAAGCTTCAAAAGTGCATAAGCAACAACTCCTGATAAAAAGGTTGGTTCCTTGCAGCAGGCTCTATTAACTGCATTTAGCATGCAAGATACTACAACTTTTAGTTCAACTGGGTACAGGGCATGCACTTGCTTTTTTGGAGTGTTTCGAATAGAAACAAATGTCTATGTATGAAGTGGGTAGGAAGAGAGAGAGAGAGAAGGGTAGGAGGAGGCAGAGAGGCAGGAGGAAGAGGTATGGAGGCCAATACTGGTACAGACAACTAAGTACCAGTTTTGGCCCGTGGGCCCACAAATCCTCAATGATAAACAACCTCCTAACACCTGTTTCCCCTTCAAAACAAACTTCTCCTTCAACAACTATCCATGGTTTCAAAATGGGTAAAACTTTTATACAGATAATGTCACTCCCTAGCTAGAACTTACAAAAACTCAATTCTCCTATCATCAAGTTGGCAAACTACAGCTTGTGGGCCAATAAAGTTTTATCAGTACTATCCATGACCCTTGTCCCTCGCATTGTCTGTGGCTGTTTCCAGCCTGCGTGGCTGGAACAGGTAGTATGGCCCACAGAGTCTAAGATGCTTACTCGCTGGCTGTTTAAGAAAAAGCCTGCTTTTACCTACTGGCAAAAGATATTTACTAAGTTATTTGCCAACTCTTGGGTTCAAGAGATAATGAATAAATATTAGTATCAGATTAAGTCTAGTTAGGTGGGAAACAATCTTAAAAATGACTGAACAAAGTTGTTAGCACAAGGTTAACAGGGTGCACTGAATGTAGTTAACAGAGATAACTCCCATGTTTTACTTGAAATTCATCTTCTCAAGTCCAATGTTGGTGAATTCTTTTCCTAACTCTTGAAAAAAGTTTTCTAAGCCAGGCATTGGTGGCTCACACCTATAATCCTAGCTACTCCGTAGGCTGAGATCTGAGGATCCCAGTTCAAAGCCAGCCCAAGCAGGAGAGTTTGTGAGACTCATCTCCAATTAACTACCTAAAAATACTGGAAATGGCACTGTGGCTAGAGTAGAGTGCTAGCCTTGGGCAAAAAAATCACAGGGGCAGCACCCAGGTCTTGAGTTCAAACCTCAGGACCAGCAATCACAACAACAATAACAGCAAGTTTTCTGACACACACAAAGTCCTCTACTATAAGTTCGGATGCACAGAGGGTCCAGCTGGTTTCTGGCCTTCTGTGCATACTCAGAAACCAGCACTGTGCTCTAAAGTCTCAGCCACATGGACGGTGTCTTTCTTTAAAGCACAAGCATTTTTGGAACAGCTCCTCCATCTTTACTGAAACATAGAACACACACTTTCAGACGCTGCACTACATCCTCTTTACTCGGCCAGCCTCACCTAACTGCTCAAGGCCGGTTTACACACTGTCACACACTGACTGGCTTCAGCTGGTTGGGACAGGCAACTTTATACCTTGGTTTACCTTAGAGCACAAGAAAAGAGAGATTCAGAAACTAAAACCATAGGATCAGAATCATAGCAATTCCAAACGAGAAATAGACTGGCTTAATACAGAGGGCCTAGCACTGCCCAATGAGCCATTCTGCTTTAGAAATTTTCACAAAGCAGTATTTGAAGAGATCTGCTGTGGCAAATTGCTCTCGTCACAAAAGCCCATTGCTTCATGTGTTCTTACAATGCAGCCCATTTAACATGAACGGCCAGCCATGTGCCTCGCAGCTCTACTGCCTGTCAGTAGTCCCAGAGGCCCCTCCCTCCTGCAGACTCATGCAAGTCCACACCTGCTGTATGTGAAGGCCCTCCTGTTGTACACGATAGCAGTGTTAGTAATTAAGGTTAGTTCTTATTTTGTCTTATGTCATTCAAAATGGATGTGAAATTTACTGGCATACCTAGGCTGCAGCCCCATGCAAGCAAGCAAAAAGCAAAATATTGAAAATGGAAGATACAGATAAACTGGCTAGCAGGCAGCTACACTCACCCTTTTGTACAGCCTATGGTCCACCAGGGGGCTTTGGGCAGTAAAACAACACCAAAGAGCTATTAGCACATGAGGGTCACAATAGAAATCTTATTAATAGCTTTATTTTGACCAAAAAGAATGTGGAGTGATTTCTTTGGGGGCAGGAAGAAAAGGTGAGTGATGGTGGGGTGTGTGAAATGAGCAGGTACAAAATTCACCATTTTTAACTCTTAAAAACGTTGTGGTCATATGACTTAGAAGAGGACTCCAGTGCTGAGGCCACTGTCTACCTACCTTGTCGGGAGGGTATCTTTTCTGTGTGTGTGTGTGTGTGTGTGTGTGTCATGGGGCTTGAACTCTGGGCCTGGGCGCTGTCCCTCAGCTCTTCAGCTCAAGGCCGGCACTCTACCACTTGAGCCACAGCACCACTTCCAGAGGGTATCACCTTCTATTTAATGCAGACTTTAATGCTCTTAGGGGACAACAGACATACAGCACCTCTTGAATAATACTGAACAAGCAAGAATGGAAGCAGGGCTGCACACATCCTGGGGAAAATGCACATTTGCAATAAGTCTTCAGTGGGACGGATACTTAGGACTTCTTCAAGTTCTTCAGCTGTATTAGCTAATACAGGAGTGGAAATGACTATTGGGGCTTAAGTAATCAGTGGTCAAAAGATGTTACCATTTACCTGTATTTTTAAGCATCTGAATTATAAAATGTTAAGGAAAGAGCCAATAAGTATCTTTACTTGATTCCAAAGCATAAACAGAGCCCACAACCTCTGTTTTGTTCTTAATGAACCTCCTTGTCACTCTTATGATGAGAGGATTAGCTCAATATAAACCTAGGAAAGGTTAAATACTTCTGGAAATTCTTTTTTACAAGGCTTACGCATAAAAGAACTCTGAAAATAAGAGTGGAAGGAGTCCTTTGCTCATCCTACTTTGGAGGCAGCCTTTTATTTGTTGTTCTGTTTAAATAAATGTCTTCCTCTCACCACACACTCCACTATAAACACAGGGCACAGCCTTGCCATGTGAAACACAAAGGAAAACACGTGTAGCATTTTACGTAATTCACTATACTGCATTTCCTATCCATATATTCCACATCTAAGGATCAGAAGGAATGAGGGAAGAAGAACCATACAATTTAACTGTGAATGTGTTGGTCTGTATGAAGTGGTCTAAGGAAGAGCAATGTCAAGATGATCTTGTTAAAAAAAAAACCTGTCTGTGCGAGGCACTGGTGGCTCATGCGTGTAATCCTAACTACTCAGGAGGCTGAGGACAGAGGATCATGGTTCCAAGCCCTTCTGGGCAGAAAAGTCCCCGTGAGACTCTTCTCTCCAATAAACTATTCAAAAAGTAGAAGTGGAGCTATGGCTCAAGGTGGTATAGCATTTGCCTTGAGCAAAAGAGTTCAAGGACAGTGCTCAGGCCCTGGGTTCAAGCCCCACAACCAACAACAAAAAAAATGAATAAAACCTGTGTGGAAGACATGAAGCACAGTCTCCCGAAGGAAGAGTCTGCTCGGTGCTCTGGGCCTACTGGGTCTCTATGCTGTGTCTTTCATTCTGGAGTTAGAAGAGGAAACGGAAGATGGGAATGTGAACATTTAAGAACGCCAGGAAGCAGCAGGGAAGGCCTTGGTGTATGTCTGCCCAGTGAAGAAACTGCACTGATCCACCCACGACTAAGAAGCCTAATGGCTAAGAGGCATTACTGAATGGTAAGGAAAGGAGAGTGTAAGGCATGCAGAACCCACTTCAGTGTCCCTGCCACCCTCAGTCCTGCACTTCCTGGTAGGACGTCTGGTTTCTCGTGCGAGCTCGCTAGCACAGTGAGAAGGGCACCTGCGCGGCTCTCCCTGCACTCAGGCTAAGAATCCTTCATGTCTGTGAGTGCAGAGGCTGTGTGTGTTCTCTGCTACAGTCATACAAACGTGTCCTCCTGCTGAGTGAAGTAAAAGCACAAGAGTTAAACCTACAAAGTCTCAAAGGTAAGGGACTTCCAATCTTAGCAAGCAGATGGTTTAAGAGAAGAACTGAGGAAAATGTGCGGTCTAAGGGATCCCACTGAGTACAGATGTGAAGTTTCGGGCGCACTGAAAGAGGAGAGGCAGAGAGACAGCGGAGGGCCTGCTTCAGGCCTTCAGCTTGCACCTGCACCAAGAAACAACACAGACACCCAGAAGGTCCTCTAAAGGCAGCATCAATGGCCTATTACGGATTCTGAGCTGACTCTTCAACAGCCCCCAAAAGTATAGGTTAAAAAAAAGCAAACCCCTTCTTCATGACAGAAGCTCAGCGTGGAGAAAGCTGAGCTTAGCAACGTGAGGAGGCGCTACATCCTCAGGAACATCCAGGCACCCAGGAGCCTAGCTCCCAGCTGAAAAGACCATTCTACCCCAGCTACCTTGGCCTACGCAGCTCATTCCAGTCATTTCTCCTGCTCATCACAGATTAGCTCTTGTAGAACTAGAAGTAGTTCTTATATCCAGCAGAGGGCACCACCTGCTAGTGGAAATTCTACACAGAAAACCTGGATGGCAGTAGATGCTCACCGCCCCCCCCCCATCCCACCCCCAACCCCGCCTTTCTCCCTTGGGAACAGGCACTTCCTTTATTATTTTTTTTTGTCTGGATGCATGTTGATGTGGTAAGGATGGACAGTGACCAGCACAATGCTAAGTGACATATGAATGACGGGTTAAAGGAAACTTTGAATTGAAAGCTAGTGCATCTCAATTGTACTCACTCCCAAATAAAAACAGAAAAATGCTGTGATGAATTTCCATGGCTAACCAACCACAGCGGTCTCAAATAATTCCCAGAGTCCCAGAGATGCAACTGGGTGCCCAGCTAGCGAGCTCTGTCCTGCTGCGGGGATGCGGGCCTCACACGGAAGCAGAGGATGGTTAAGAGGTTAGGGCTGAACAAAGTCAACACTGAGGGTTGGGTACCTGTGACGACATCGACGTAGAAACCTCATTATTTTTCGAGCAGCTTGGTCCTGCTTTTTGGTTAGCAAACTGCTCCTGGAAAAGTGAAAACAGGATCGCCACTTATGAAGAGTTCCATGAGGCATACTATGCAAAACCTGAGCACTTCGTGGGGAGCAAATCTGGCGGCATAGCATATGCCACTGTCATAGTACTGTATGGCCAGCCTGCTGGGAGAGCAGGGGGTACAAGTCCTGACCCCAAGCTTTAGGGAGAAAACAAAGACTGAAAACAAGATGTCCCATGAATGTTCTCTTATTACTCCTTTTTAATCCAGGCTGGCCATGGTCTTGTGATTCTCCTGCCTCAGCCTCACAAGCGTTGAGATCATAATTGTGTATCATCACACATGGCTCTTTCACTACTCTTTATTATTCACCCTGTTCTTCTTTTAAAGGCATTTTGTCATTAGAACTCATTAATTTAGAAGTTAATCTGTCTGAATTTGGTATTTTCTTTAGGACCGTGGGGGAGAGGGGAGTCCTGGGGTTTGAACTCAGGCCCTCAGACTTGCTTGGCAGGCATTTCATCACAGGAGCTGTGACTCCACCTTTATGGCTTATTTTTCAGGGCTGGTGTCAGATTCTGGTCTTCCCACTTATGGCCTCCCAGCAAGAGCCACCCTACCCAGCTGACTGACTGAGATGAGGCCTTGCTAACTTTTTGCCAGGTCTGGCTTTGAACCACAATCTTCTCCATCTCTGCCTTCTGAAGAGCTGGAATTACAAATTATAACCATGCCTGCTCTCTTTTGGCTATTCTCTGTTTTTTAAATCAATACATTCTGCTAGACATTAACGTTCTCAAGAATGGAATAGCTTAACGCGAATTACTCCTCCAAGGTCATGCAGGCAGCGTTACAATTGAGACTACTCTACTATAGAGCAATGGCTCCAAGTATGAACTTCACCAGACCAATGGGTGGGAGGTAGAGAGAAGTTCAATGTACAAAAGAGACTGGCAGCACAGGCATCACCATACAAAGTGACAATACCCAGAACATTCTGAAAAGAATGTCACTGCAAATGCTGTAGGTCCCACAGAGGCTGGCAGCAACCCAGCAGAGGGTGCCAGTTTGAGGGGCAGGCAGGGACTTTGCCAACTGCTGCCCCCAGTCCTCCGTGCCCACCTGAGCTTCTGCTGCACAATGACGGCGGTCCTGCGAGCCTGCCGTCTCTTGCCGCATTTCTTGTAACTCCGGTAGTACTTCTGGATTAGGACGGCAGCACGCCGGCTCTGCTGGAACCTCTTCTGCTCATAGTAACTTCGGAACTTGCTCTGGATAAGGATGGCTGCCTGGGTCATCTTTTTATAAAGTGCATACTGCAGGGGAAACAAGAATGAGCAGGACAGTAACAACAGGAGCTACACAAAGCCTGTGAGCGCTCTGAGCTTGGGGAAGGGAAGAAAGGCCCTGTCCTTCTTAGGCTGTTCTCTGCGTGGGGCTTAGCCACCAAGAGGGAGGCAAAGTAGGAACCTTCTCACCTACCTTCCCAAAATGTCAAGTGTTACTTTAAGGGTAGCTTGTAGATAAAATAATGTTCTGCAATGTGCTCTTCCCCAAAATATCAAAATACTTTTAATAGCAATCAAGTTAGACATTCATGAGTCTAAAATGTATTTAGAAAGTGCAATTTTAAATGCTTATTTTAAGACTAGAATTTGCTACCCCATTTGGAAACATTTTAACCCTTTTCATGCCTTCCAGTTCCCATGACAAGATATACAGATCTCCTAGCAGCCGGCATCTGATTTCTATCATTCTGTATGACCAAGTTCTGACTGAGTTACAAGTTCCCAAATACAAGGCTTATCATGAAACGCTGACACCTTTATGCCATTTCACCCTGAAAAGAATAAACATTTGTCAGTCTGACAATGGACCTTGGAAGGTCATCAGACAGTTAGGGTTGCTTAGGAGCAAGGCCAGTAGCTCCCTACCCAGCTACCGTCCACTACCAAGGGGAAAGGAGAAGCACCAGAAGGCACCTCAGCATCGGTTTCCAGGCACGAGAAACTCAGGGCTCACAAGGGTTGAAAAATGTGATGTCCAAATTACCAAGGAAACAGAATGTGATTCTGAGACAAGAAGTCACATGATGCCTCAGCTTCAAAGAAGGCAACCTACCTACCATTGTTAGGAAAAATATCCCTTGGAAACCCTGTATAGAACTGACGATGTCTCTGGGTGTATGAGACAGAATGAGGGAAGAAAATGGACTTTTCACAGCATTTAAGAAATAGGAGATTCTGCAAGGACCTTCTTCACTCTCACCTAACCTGCTTTCCATTTCCATTAGCCCCAAATCTTCCACAACAAGTGCACTGGATCCTACAGGGCTTCTGTGGGTTTCTCGGTCTTGGCCTACACACTGTACATTCAAAACAACTGGGCCACCTTGAAGGCCATCAGAGAAAAAGGGGCTTTAGGCTCACAGTATTTGGCTTAAATGAATTGTCACTAGTTAAGAAAAAGCCCAATACTATAAATGCCCAAACCTACTCCAACTGAATAAGCACAAGGTCTCAGAGTGCAGGAGCACTGTGTTCCGGGTGTCTGGGAAGGGGGTGTGACAGTGAGTGTGCCATCGTAATGACCCTCCGCAGAGGTGGTGATGGGCGTGGAGTTTGTGACTGGTGGAATGGTTTGTGAGAGGACTGGGTGTATCATTACCTTCAAGGCTATCCATGTCAGCTTGGGGAGAAACAGAAAATACAAAATTAATGTTAGATTGCTGAATAGAATCAAATTAAAATCCAGACCCATAAAACTCACAACCAAAAAAAAAAAAAAAGGCAGTCTGGTTATGTCAATGCCTTTCACTTTCCAAAATACCAATACTGTCATCACTACTTCCTAAAGCAACACCTCCCTTCTTCCTAACGGTGGACAGTGCATCTTTGGGAGGGGACCTTTCAGAAAAACCCTGTTGGAAACAGACTAGGAGCCTTGATTCTGTTTGTTTAATTCTCATAGTAAGCTCGCTCACCAAACAAGCCAGCCCAGCTCCCTACTGCAGAGCTCTAGGGACTGTGGTGTCAGCGTTTACACAATAAGCCTTCGTTTTCTGGGATCATGAACTCAATTGGCTGTAAGCCAGAGATGTTCCTTCTCTGTCCCATTAATGAGCTTTAATCCCAGGGAAACTTGAGAGAACAGCAAGCCACATTAGAAAGCAAAGGCCTGCATCAGAACAAGAGAGCATAAACCCAAATTTCCATGCAATCTTACAGGTTAGCACTTATTATTGCTTAAATAAAAATGTAGAACCTACCGAAAAAAAAAAAAACCAATCTAATAAAGTCTCTATAATTTTTTTTTGTCGGCCATGGGCTTGAACTCAGAGGCTGGGCACTGTCCCTGGTCAAGGCTAGCACTCTACCACTCTGAGCCACTGTACCACTTCTAGTCTTCTGGTTGTTCGCTGTAGGTAAGAGTCTCACTGATTTTCCTGCTCGGGCTGGCTTTGAACCATGATCCTCAGATCTCAGCCTCCTGATAGCTAGGATTACAACTAGGAGTGCCTGGCAGGTTGGAGACAGGGTGCAGGCTGGTCTTGGATTCATGATGCTCAGTCTCTGAGGGCTGGAATGACAGCAAGTATGTGCTATCGCCCCTGGCATTAGGAGTAAATTTTAACATGCAAGCTAGTCAAAGATCAGTGAGGCACTTTTTAGTATTTTACAACCACCCTGGTGGTGAGAAAGTCTAATACTGACTTAATTTCTTAATTAGCTTCTTCATCTATAAACAGAACTGCTGACTCCTAGCAGCTAAGGAGTTAACTTAATGGTGTGCCTGACAGATGTGGTCCACACATGTGCCCACAAAGGGCAGATCCCTCCTACGGCTGGCTGACGGCTGTTTCAGAAACACAATCCTGTCTCAAAGAGGACAGGGATGTTCTGGCATCTTCTAAACAAAGCTTCATGGCAGACACCTTTGTTTTCTTTTCCTCAAGGCAATTCAAGCTATGCCTTTGTTATTAAGAACTTATCCTCTTCAACTACACTGCACCCCAAGGTCATCAGCCCACTGTAAGGGTGCATTTTCCTTCTGTGACCTAGAACTGAAGTTTACCTGTTTATATTTCCTGTAACAACGCTGAATGACGGCAGCAGCCACTTCCTGCTGTTCCCGCAAGGGTCGGCCCTAAGGGGGAAGTAAGGGGAAGAATGAGCAGTGAGCTGATGGCCGCTCTAATGTAAGAGCTGTCAGTGGCCTTACAACTTAGACCCATTACTCATGTGATGCTATTTTTCTCAGAACTGAGACTCTAGGTTTACCAAAGTAAATTAATTGCAAATATAAATTAGGAAGAGAAATGAATTTATAGAATAAACTTTTAGTTTTCCTTTCTAAATCAAACCAGATGATATTTGGATATTAGGAGGCTTAAAATCTTCATTTTAAGAGAATGTAACAAATAGATACTGTACCATTTGTCTTACCAGATCTCAACAGTCTTTCCTAAAACAACCCCAACCACTTGACTTTCTAATTGGTGAGTAATGACTTTCAAGGCCTGGATAGGGCAGAGGAAAGGGAAAGCAGGGTGGGGGTAGAGAGAATGGGAGGTGTATGTGTCAAGCTGTTCAAGATCCCTTTAAGAAAGACTGTGGATCTTCTCCCCACAAAATGAACATATACAGTGCTGCTACCTAATTCCCAGGAACTTGGGGGTTGCCTACAGTCAGGCCCCAGTCTCCAGGTGAAAACCTTCGTTTATGTCACAAATTCCATGTAGCAGAGATGTTAATTTACTTGTGTTAACTAAATAAAATCCATTATTAACAAGTCGAGACAATGATAGTCATCAAACTATTGGTTAATTTATTAAAGCTCTGAAAATTATTAATAGCCTAATGTGTCAAAACTAATAATTTCCAATACAAAGCCTATGAATCTGGAGAAACTAAAAAACGGTGTGGTGTGTTTTTGCTGGAATGATTCTGCCTCTCAGCTCTCTTCCCCAATCCTGAGAACATCACAACATCAGGACACTCATACTTCACCTTGTACTTCCGGAAAGCTGTCTGGACAAGCCTGGCAGCTTCGTAAAGCTCTCTCTGCTCATGGTCCGACAGAGTTAGCTGGGCGAACTCATTCTCTACCTTCTCACTTGTAGATGCACTCAGGAATTCTGACCAGTCTGCTGCAGAGGGAAGGTTAGGTTTCTCGAACGCTATTTCACTGACTGGAGAGCCTACAGGGCTCATGCTGGTATTAGATGAAGGGGTCAGAGGCTCATTATACGCACTTCTGAAATAAGAAAAGGGAGACATGGTTTGAGACTGATTTGCACTGTCCATGACCAATTGATGAGACAAGACGGCACCCATCTGCAGCCACTGTGGGGCTCTAAGAAAAATGCTTCATCTGTCATGGCTTGCTAAACAGGCTCAGCACTTGAGTTCTCTTCAATTAAGTTGGCTCATGCTCAGTGGCTACTATACGTTTATACTATTGCTCAACATTAAGCTCACTAATTCCCTTGCCACTGTGAAACTTCAGTTAAATTAGGGAGACCTTAAGACACATGATCCCCTATACTCTGATCTAGTGTGAAAATAATAGAAGAGGCAAGGGTAGAGCCAGGCCTTCTGGTGGCAATGGAATGGGCCCTAATGCCTTCTTGTCTTCCTTGGTAAGGTCTTATATCACTTGGCATTTACCTAATACACTTCACCATATACGCCCTCCCCGCCTCTGCAGTAACATTCAGGGGTGTTTATCCCAGGCAAAGACTCCCAGAATCCTCTTGACCTGATCTGGGCAGCACTTGGCAGACGATCAGCATCAGCTAGGTAACTGGCCAGCCAGCTCATTGTACTGCTAATGGAGGCAGGGTCTGTCCTTTCCACTGCTGAGGACTCCATGGGCACAAAGTTCTCCTGCTTGATTCGGTCAGGGGTAGCTTCAATAATGTGTTCTGCCAAGGTCATCATGTTCACCTGGAATGAGAAGTTCAACCAACACGCAGTGAGAAATTAACCTTTCAAAGTTATCCAGGTCTATCTGCCTCTACCCCTCAACTTGGACAGAAAACAAGCAAATTAAGACAAGACCGGCTCACACCTCAGTGCATTCAAACAGCACATGAGACGCTGAGTGCTGATTATCTATAAATCGTAGTTATTTATAATCATTGTTTGGCCAGAAAGCTTTAGTCCTGTCTTTGAGAACTTCTGTCTGATATCTAGTGTTTATTCTCAGCTGGATTAATCAGTTAACAATCTCATATCTGGGAATTCTAGTGGAAAATATAATGTGCCTAACCAATACTCACTCATCAATACTCACTCACCCCCATTCCCTTGCCTGGGGACCCCCAGTCTTGTGGTGGGTAGCAATGTGCTGAGCCCCAGGGGACAGATCACAATCACTCTAAGCCAATTAAGAGAATCCTCTTCTTGGTCTTCCACTTCCCCTGCACTGGAGGGCAGGGATGTGACCTACTTTTGGTCACATAAAACCAGGCAGAGGGAGGGCTATCCTGATGAAAAAGGCATCCGTGTGCTTGGAACCTGGCGGGCCTTCTTCTTCCTTCCTTGACTACAGATAAGCCTGAGCAGCTATAACTGCAAAGCAATAGTATGAAGACGAGAGCCACAAGTATACCTCTGGACTTCTTGTCATGTCATTTAATTAAACCAATCAAACCAGTTAGGTTACTGGCATTTTTACCCTAAATATATTCCCAATAAATATAATTTAGGACCTTCAAAGCTGACTTCCCTTGAACTGCTCATTTTCAACATAGTCTGCTTTACTGCTATATGTTCCTAAGTTTAGGTCTAAATTGGTTAATACTTACACATGGCATGGGTTCAATCAGAAATGGCTAACAGAGCTCTGCAAGTTATACCAAGCTGAATCAAGCCAGCTATGCAAATCAAGTTTCACTGGAATAAAGCCACACATACTCATTTAATATTCTCTAAAGCTGTGTGTGTGTGTGTGTGTGTGTGTGTGTGTTTTATAGGGGCAGATTAAATGATTATGACAAAGTCTTCATGGATCATAAAACCTGAAAGTATTCACTAGCTGGTCCTTCACAGAGGAAATCTGCCAGCCCTTTGTCTAAAGCACTATTTGATTTAGGCTGGGAATGGTGGTGCACATCTGTATATCTACCTGCTTGGTAGGATGAGGCAGAGCAATCCCAGGTTGAGGACAGCCTAGGTAACCTAGTGAGACCCTGTCACAGAAATTTTAAAAAGAGCTGAGGATTCTGTTCAGTAGTATGTGCAGGTCTCATTTAGCATGTGCAGGTCTCAGTTCAATCCCCAGCACCAAAAAACCACACAGGAATTATTGGATCTAGCTTGGCAGGAACCCTCATGACCGGAGAGGTTGGCAACTCAGTGGTGGGGTCTCCCATTCTTCAGGAGTGCAGCACACGGGCAAGCACGCTTCCCTCATGAATGGAGCACCTGGGTGAGCACACAGGGATCCTTCAGGAGTGGGAACAGCAATCACGCACATATATGCTAAGTGGGTAAGGGCCAGCAGTGAACAGGACGCATCAGGAGTCAGGCTTCTCCAAGGACTGCTAGCTAGGATGTGGGGTCGCCTCTGTTGGTCACTTCTATGGGTATGAGTGCCTTGCTGAATTTCTTTTTTTTTTTTTTTTGTCGGTCGTGGGGCTTGAACTCTGGGCCTGGGTGCTGTCCCTCAGCTCTTCAGCTCAAGGCGAGCGCTCACCACTTGAGCTACAACGCCACTTCCGGTTTTCTGGTGGTTTATTAGAGATAGGAGTCTCACCGTCTTTCCTGCCCGGGCTGGCTTTGAACCGAGATCCTCAGATCTCAGCCTCCTGAGTAGCTAGAATTACAGGCGTGAGCCACCAGCGCCTGGCAACCTTGCTGAATTTCTAAAAAGGCAGTTCTTCCTTTTGCTTTTGTTTTAGGTTATATCAATGAAGACTGTGGAGAGGATGCCTATCCCAGTTCTTACCTTTGGCACTCCCCTGTATATTTTAATTGACACCATTTATTTATTAGCTAAGTATATAAAGTTTACTTCAATATATATTCTCTTAATCTACTGCAAACTTAATGATCAAAGGATTCTATGTTTTATAGATTTCTTGTCCAGGCAGCCAATTATCAGCCTTAGAAATATTTCTAAATATGTATCAATGATCAGCCTTGAGATATTTTTAGATAATCATCGATCATCAGCTGTGGAGTATTTCACTGAGTACTGCTGCAAGCCACCTGCCAGTATGCCTTTTAAAATGGCCAGGTGATGGCTGTTCCAGTCAATCACCTAGATCATCCAAATTCTATCCATAAGTGTTCTTGCTATTTTTAGGCCTCTGGCTCTATTATAACCAACACTTAAAGTGGTGAAGCTGTCAGGCATCAGTGGCTCACTCCTGTAATCCTAGCTACTTAGAAGGGTGAGACCAGAGGATGGAGGTTCAAAGCCAACCAGGCAGATGAGTCTGTGAGACTCCTCTCCACGTAAGCCCCAAAATAGCCAGAAGTAGAGCTGTGGCTCAAGTGGTAGAGTGCTAGCCTTGAGCCTCAGGGACAGTGCCCAGGCCCTGAGTTCAAGCTCCAGGACCAGCACAAAAGAAAAGAAAATAAAAACCAAAATAACAATGAAGTTGTTGTCATCCTGGAGGCAAGGAGGAAGCAGAAGACTAACTGTGGCTCACAAGTGAGTTCTGAGGAGCTGGCACCAGAAGAAAGCCTGTGCTGAGACCTGGGCCCTGGCATTCAGGCCCTATTCACAGCGCCTGATTGACTCAAAGAAAATGCAGCCCGAGGAAAGAAGACACTCCAACAGTCTCACACCTAAGACCGAACAGCTGCTGTTGAGGCCCCGGCCTCTGCAGGCTTACCTGACGTGCGCTCACCTGAATGTCATCCACAGGTGGAGAGCATCCCACGTGCTCTGCACCATCTCGGTAGGCCCCCGTCTCTGTAGTCACCACCTCTCTGTTTGCCATCATCAGCACACTCATTGGTTCCCGTGGACGCACCTGTGAAGGTGCTGCGTCCTTTCCTACACTGGTCCCCTTCGGATTTCCAGTCACCTGCACTGTAGACACACCAATGTAAAGATCTTTGGAACTCCACTTTACTACTGGGTGAGATCCAGAGGCTTGGAATGCTGCAGTCTCAGCAGTGGGAGGGGAGGTTTCCCGGCTGCAGTCCCTCACTCCTTCACTGGGGCTCATTGGCTCGGGGGCAGACTGCTTAGAACTAGGGCTCTGCTTCCTGATATTTGGCTGTTCCAGACTCAGTGCAGTGGAAAGCAGCTTCTCCTGCCTTGCCTGGAAGTACTCAGGGTTCAATTTATGCTTTTTGGGAGCCGGATAATCTTTGTGGCTCTCACTGCTGTAGTAATTAGAGGGTTCAGACCGAGGTCTTCTCAGCTCTGAAAAGTACAGTAGAAAGGACAGTCAGGATAGGCGATAAAAAAAGACTAGGAATCCTAAAGAATTAATACTTTTTCTAAATCTGAGGGGCACAAAGTGCAAAGCTGGGGCTCGAGACATGTCCCTCACGTTAAATTATTCCCCAGCAGTATATATCTTAACCAGATATTCCTCCAAAAATGGGTATTTCTTGCATGAACACAAATTTTTTTGTTACTTTCCATATTCTGGGGGGGAGGGGTCACCAGGCATTTTAAAAGGAAAATAAAAAACATTAAAACAACACCCACATTTTAAACATCTGTGACTATCACATAGACTTTAATGAGGGCCACTGCATAACAAAAACTGGGGGCTGCCAACTTCTCAGATGTAAAGTCTGAACTTTTACCTGGATTGGTACTTGCAATGACAGTGACTCCTTTGGGTATTTCTGGAGAGCTCATGGCCTCACTGGGCCACTGGGCCATCCAGCTCTCTGTACTTGGCTCTTCACTCGGGGGACAGTGGATCCGGGGGTTCTGTCCAAGCTGGGCCTGCTCATCTCTCTGCAGGTGCTCCAGACACTCTGCCAATTTCACATGACCTCTTGACCTGGCAATTCCCAAGGGCAGCCTTCCCAGAGAGTCCGGAATGGAGATGGCCCGACGGTCCCACTTGTACAGCACCACCGCAGCCTCCAAGTGTCCGAGGGCACAAGCCCACATCTACAGGAAGACACAGCAGGCTTTCTCAACAACACGTGAACCCTACTGCACTTCCGTCACTGCCACCAATTAAGAACACTAGTTTTTGCTGATAAACTTGGTGAGTCCATAAAACACTGTCATTAAAAAGCATCTCTCTACTGGGCACCGGTGGCTCACGCCTGTAATCTTAGTTACTCAGGATGCCGAGATCTGAGGGTTTAAAGCCACTCTAAGCAATAGACTTTTATCTCCAATTCACCGCCAGAAAACAGAAGTGGCGTTGTGGCTCAAAGTGGTAGAGTGCTAGCCTTGAACAAAAAAGCTCAGGGATAGTGTTCAGGCCTTGAGTTCAAGCCCCACGACTGACAAAAAGAAAAAGCATCTCTTAGCCAGGTACCTGTGGCTCACACCTGTAATCCTGGCTACCCTGGAGCCTGAGATCCCAAGATTGCAGTTTGAAGCCAGCTTGGGTAGAAAAGTCTCAGATTCTTATCTCTAATTAATCAGCAAAAAGCCAGAAGTACAGGTATGGCTCAAGTGGTAGAGAAGCAGTCTTGAGCATAAAAGCTAAGGCAGAGCGCCTTGGTCTTGAGCTTAAGCTCAAAAGCACCCCAACATGTGCTTTTTTTTTTTTGTCCTGTCAATTAGGAACAATTGTGGGCATACTTAACACTTCATTACTTAGTTCCCAGTCTGGAAAAGAGTTAAATTCATTGTAATAAAACAATGTACAACTAATTTATAAGTAATATTCTCAGATCTCTTAAGGATCCAATGTCCCTCTGTCACACTGGGAAAATGGCAAGGAAATAACCAGTGAACCTATTTCTTACCAGAGGAGTACAAGAGAAGTGGTCCACATTCAAGGGGTCAACTTCCAGCTCCAAATCAATGCTATCTGCATGCTTCGTGCTGTAAGGGATAGCACCAAAGGTTACCACACCACTAGCCCATGGTAAAAGGAAACACCAGGATATTATAAACCCACAAAAGTGAAAACAAATTAGGTATTTCACCTTCCTAATGTGAAAAAAAAAAGTGCTGGCTTTTGAAGGTAGTTTGGACTCTGCCTGGCGGAAGCCCAAAGGAAATAAAAAGCCCACATTTAGGTAGTATTTCACTCAGAGTCTCTTGGGTATAAGCTCATAAAACTCCCTTGGAAAGGCTGAGGAGAAAGTCCTCTGTTCCTAGGCCATAAAGCTTACTGAATGGCCAGAGCTCTCTCCATGAGGGGAAATGCAGCTGATGAGCGGAGATGACCTGTTATCTGCACGCCAGCCTTACCGCCACTTGATGAGGGTCTGGATCAGGGTGGCGTAGCCCTGGGCAGCAGCCAGGTGTAAGAGGGTCATCCCACGGAAAGTCTTCGAATGGATCAAATGCTTGGACTTCGCCCAGCAGGCGCGGCTCATCATCTTCTCACAGACAACAACCACACGACTCTCGAAGCAGCTCCCCAGGGTCCCAGTCCCAGAGGCACACTACCGTGAGAAGGAAGACGTTAGGACCCATGAACCAGAGGCCCTTCACCACACAGGGGTTGGAAATGGAAAAGACAAAACACTGAACACAAGAGACATCATGAAAAAGAGAACAGAATGGGCATCGTTTCAGCTCAGGACGTAAGTGTTGGTTCGAGGAAATTTCCAATAAGTCAATGACCAGCAGTGTGTCAGAGCTTCCGCCCTGGGACACCACGCTGACGGGTCTGGGGGAAGTGTACACTGCCAACAAGAGAACAAGGCTCCAGCCTCCCAGATGAAGCAAACATTGTGGGCAAGAAATTGTGATTGTCTCCATCTAGAATGTGGGGGTTTAACATCTGCACTTCTGAAAGAAAGAAAGTCAAGTCGCTTAAATGTGGTTTTTTTCTTTTTCCCTAAAGGAAGCACTTGTAACTTTCCAGTTTACCCTTTTACAAAGTGAATATAAAACTGAGGAAAACATGAAATATTGAATCTAAGGATTATTATTATCAAGAAGAAACTTGTAACTTTCCAGTTTACTCTTTTACAAAGTGAATATAAAACTGAGGAAAACATGAAATACTGAATCTAAGGATTATTATTATCAAGAAGAACATATAGGAAAGGGAACATCATTAATTTTAACATGGCTGTTGTTAAAAGAAGAAAATCAAAATTGGCAATTGCAACAGCTTGAGTCTCTGTGACAGCAATTTTCTGTTTAGCATTCTCCCTCATGAATGTCATTATTAGCTTAATCCATGTCTCTGGTATTACTTTAGTAAGTTTTTGGATTTCTTTTTTAACCTAGTCATGGGGCTTGAACTCTGGGCCTGGGTGCTGCCCCTGAGCTCTTCAGCTCAAGGTGAGTGCTCTTACCACTCCAGCCACAGCACCACTTCTGGTTTTCTGGTGGTTAACTGGAGATAAGAGTCTCACAGACTTTCCTGCCCAGGCTGGCTTTAAACCGTGATCCTCAGATCTCAGCCTCTTGAGTAGCTAGGATTACAGGTGTGAGCCACCAGTGCCCAGCTGATTTTAGTAAGTTTTTTTTTTTTAACAGTAAGTTCCATAAAATCTAATTAATAGTTGTGCAGGTGTCTCACACCTGTCATCCTAACTACTTAGATGCTAAGATCTGAGGAGCATGGTTCAAAGCCAGCCTAGGCAGGAAAGTCCCTATGAGACTCATCTCCACTTAACCACCAGAAAACCAAAAATGTCACTGGCTCAAAGAGGTAGAGGGCTAGTCTTGGGCAAAAGAGCTCAGGGACAGCACCTAGGCCCTAAGTTTAAGGCCCACAACCAAAAAACAACAACAACAACAACAAAAAAAAAAAAACCCTAATTAGTAGAGAAATACCGTTGCTCCACATTGCTCATTATTATTAAATTAGGAAAAGTGGCTCCAGAAGTAACAGGCAGATAAGCGGATGTGCCGTCATGCCTGTCAGCCCAGCTGGCCCAACACACCACACGCTGACCTTGACTCAAAGGCCACACAGGGCTGCTGTATACAAATCAGACAGACACACTCAAGAGGGCAGGAAAACACAAGCTGGCAAACAAAACAGAGATTTCTAAAGTCTTAAAAATAGCCCTATCTCTACCATAGATTGAAGATAAGGTCGTCTACTGGAGCCAAGTTGAACTGATAAGCACATCCAAGCGGTTACTCTGCGGGCAGATGGTAACAGGCCAGCTGCAGAATGTTTGTGCTTTGAGATATAGTACACATAACTCCTCACACATGCTTTGTGAGTGTAAGGATTTTCTGGGAACCTCTTCTTTCAGCTATGAAGTACATTAAACATTTCTTCTTTTATAAAACTGAATTGATCAGATGGAAAAAAGCTATTTTAGCCTTAATAACAATTTATTGTATTTCAGAGCTCTCCTATTGATTTCTGAAGACAGGGGAGAAATTAGAAGAAAACTTGAGGAGGTTGCTTTTTGGGTGTAGAAGACTCATTTTCTTACTATTATTAAGGATTGCTACCACTTGATACTGACATGGATCATAAAACAAGTATGTTTACTTCAAAAGGGAACCCTGCAGAGGAAATCAGCATTCATCCTGAAGAGAAAGAGGGGATTGCTTTTGATTTCTGGGCAATGACTAAGTAGTGGAGGAGAGAAATACCACCAAAGCCTTTAACTTTCTCCATGGGGGTCTCTGGAGGAATAATGTTTGCCTAATAAACTTTTTTTTTTTTACAATAAAAGCTCCTACACAAAACATACACAAGAGCTTCAAGTCCCAAAAGACTAAAACCATTCTTGCTGATTTCCGTGTGCTTGGCAACGTCATGCACCTTTCATGCAGAGAATGCAAACACAATGCACATGCTGGTCTACACTCAATACCAGCTCCCTAAACCGTTTCCTAGGTCCTTTTTGTCCTGATCTTCTTGAGGTTTTAAGGCTTATAAATTTCTGCATTCAATTATGTTCTGAATTTATCCTTAAGATTTAAAATGTGAAGTAGAAAGACAAATTTACGTCTGAGCCCCACAGATCTGAGTCTGTTTTTTGTTTTTTTGTTTTTTGTTTTGGTCTGTTTTAACTGGCTGCCAGCGCCCTCTGCCCCCTAACAAGTGCTAGGTAGACTAAAGATTCCTGAGATCAGTAAAAATGGCATAAAGATGAGGGAGTAAACAAGGGAATTTTACGGTGTCTTTCATAGTGTACACTTGATGCTCAGAAGCACAGAGAATATAAAGACACCCCGGGACTTTTTGCCCAAGTCTAGGAATGACCTTGGTGGCAGGGAAGGAACCTGGAAGCAGCTGCCTCATGCCACACAAATGAAGCGAATCGTCTGCACGTACCTGAGCTTGGCTTGCTCCATTCCCGCTCCCACTGCCGCCTCCACTGCTGCCTCCTCCACCCGCCTGTTTGTGCTGCTGGGAGCCGGTCATCTCAGCCATTCTCCTCTCCATCTGCTCCAGTCGCTCCAGGATGGACATCCTGAACTGGTTATCTAGGGCAGAGTAGGACGAGTGAGGTTTCGTTCCGGAAGAACAGCACTTGACCTGTGGCCTCTGCCAGCTGTGGGACTGACGTCCAAAGGACTGCCAGAGACTTCAAGCCCAGGACTGCAGCCAGGCCAGACTTCCCCAGAACCGCAGGGGGCTGTCCTCTGGCATGACACTATGACATCGCAAGTCCCCAAAGGACCAGAAAAACCCTTTTTGTCAAAGGCCCTGCTTTTGAGTTTCTGCCTTCCCATCTTTGCTGAATCCCCAACAGAAACCATGGAGAGATCTGGTAGAGGCCCGTGAGCAAACTCACAGCACGAACACACTTTAATATAAGCTAGTAGAAGAAAGTAATTATTATGGAAAGGAGGGGTTTTTGTTTTTAGATGAGCTTTTACAAGAAGAGACTAAACCAAATTTAGTTTTATTTCCTGACCCAGGATCTAGCTTCTATGTATACTTGACTCATGCCCCAAATCAGAGACAACGCCACAGGTGCTTTGTCCCTACCCAAGAAAACAACAACAACAGGACATTACACGGGGATCTAAGATTGTAACTCAAGGATAGTGTTATGGTTCTGTTCCTCTGAGCCAAGGTCAGACCACTACACACTTACACTCCATGTGTGCACAAACATGAGGACGCACACTCAAACAGGTTATCTACTATGTAAATGGGAGCATCGGCACCCATAGCCATTGGACATGTATCCACAGTGCTGTGCCAGGAGGCTGTCAGCAAACAGAGCAGACGGGCCTCTTCCTGCTGAACACAGACTGCGAGAAGCATAGAAGGCAGGAGATTGTGAGAAGGAGGAGAACTAAGATAAGCCAGGGATAGGGACATTTGAGTTTGCCCAGAGCAGAAAGAAGATTGAGGTAAGAGCAAACGCATAGGCCCCTACCCCACAAAAGAGGGAGGGTGGCACTGGAGTGACCAAGGACCCTACAGTACAGAGACCAGTTCAATTGCAGAGAACTCTGGCTCTGCCACAAATAAAACCTCTGGGGCCTCAGCCTCCTCGTGAGGAGACCCTCCAAGGGCTGCAGGCCTCCCACTGTGAATATACATGCATGCTCACAACATGCTGCCTTCTAGCTAAAGCGTGCCAGCCACCAACATCTCCAGAAAATGAAGTAAGGTCTTTAGGAACAGACTTCAGAGGCAGGACAGCAGATTTCCCCTCAAATTGCGAAAGAACTACTCTCAAAACATGGCTATCTGGGGCTGGGAAGTTAGCTCAGTGGTAGAGTGCTTGCCTTGCATGCATGAAGCCCTGGGTTTGATTCCTCAGCACCACATAAGCAGAAAAAGCCAGAGGTGATGCTGTGACTCAAGTGGTAGAGCGCTAGCCTTGAGCTGAAGAGCTGAGGAACAGCACCCAGGCCCAGAGTTCAGGCTCTACAACCGACAAAAACAAAAACAAAAACAACAAAACCATGGCTATCTGAATCCTGAAAAGGAACAAGCTGGAAAAGAAAGACTGTCAATATTCCTTGCTATCCTACTGGAAAAGAAAGCCATTGTCAAGCCAGGCAGAAATGGCCCACACCTGTAATCCTAGCTATTCAGGAGGCTGAGATCTGAGGATTAAGGTTTGAAGCCATCTCAAGCAGGAAAGTCCTTGACACACTTATCTCCAATGAACCACCAAAAATCTGGAAATGGAATTGTGGCTCAAAGCTAAGGGATAATACACAAGTGCTGAGTTCAAACCAAAGGTGGGATGGGAGGGGAGGGGAAGAGAGGGGAGGGAAGGGAAGTCCTAAGACCAGTGGACATAGCTGATTGGCTGCAGAGAGTAAACAAAAGGGAACTGCCCTTCTCAGACCCTTTCCATGTGCCAGGCACCTCAGGCACTTCCCACATGCCGTGTACAAGGACCACTTCCCTGCCTGGTTCCTCATCATCAAGTGAGGCAGGGATGCTGTTTCCTTATAGACAAGCGGACAGAGTCCCGAGGCAGTAACTCCTGTGCCTGCTCCTCTCTCTGACCACAGAAGGAACAACTACAGGAAAAGAAGAGGCTCGTGCATGAGCAGCCCGTGCTAGGGGAAGGCTGTGCTCACCCTCCAGAAGCAAACAGAAAATGCCCGTTTTACACAGAGAATTTCAGTACTGATACCCATTTGATTTTCCATTACTATACCACTAAAGACTGCTGCTGTTATTTCTATGAATAACCATCAAGGAAACAATTGTTCCTCATGGAGACAAAAAAAATGAGTGCCTTTGCTCCAGTTTCATATATACAGAGAAATATGGTAAAGGTGGAGGATCTTGTCTATGATTGCCTATGGCAACTGCCAGCAGGCTGGTAACTGGGCGACACCACTGGGGTAACTGCATGTGGCCATTTTCAGCTGGTGGCTGCTAGCAGAAACTGCAGGATGGATGACAGCAAAGGTGGCGGCAGCCACCTCCCTCCTGGCCCTACACTGTCCTTGGGAGCTGAAATCCTGCAGCTGGAGGTCTTCTCCATCTGCAGCCAGCTGAAGACTGGAAGGCAACTCTTCAGTGAGCGCTCAATTCAAAGCAGCAGGGATCACGGTCCTTGGCGCATGGTCAGCACTCCCCCTCATCTTCCCTCACAGTGCCTCTCAAACACCTCTCATCTCCGGACCTACAGAGATGCTCATGAGCCCTGCTGAAGTGTCTTGACTTAACTCTAAGCCTCTGAAGCCCTTAGCTGGCTACATTTACACATCTTGCAGCCATTACATGAATTCTTGGGACACAGAGCACTTTTTTTCAGAGCCTGGAAGCCTGCTGGCCAAGTGTCACACCCCAAGGTAGACAAAATGGCAGAGGCACTAAAAGCTCCTGGTCACACCCTGCTCTCAGAGACAGCCTGTCTCTGTGGAGGTGGCTTTGTTCTACCAGTACTGCAGAGCCTCAGACCAGAGCCTCAGACCCGCTCTAGGAGGGTCCTGTCCCCACTTCTCCCGCCCAGATCCTGCACAAACAGACCCTCCCTGACTTGCCAGATCCAACCCTCTGCGCATCACACCTGGCCTCTGCTCCCTTCCCACCTGTACTTGCTGTTGCGAGGCAGGGAGCACTGGCATGTTATCATGCTACTCTGAGTCACACTTCATGAAGACACTGTGAAGCAATGATCTGCATCTGAGCACTCTCACAGGAGGCACAACAGCGTCTCTGGGCCTCTCAATTCCCAGAGGGGAGGAGTGACAGCTGTAACAGGAGGTGATCGTGTGGCACCCCAGGTGCCCGCCCAGAGAGAGCACTAAAACAGCCCAGAGGCTGATCACACCTTGTCTCCTCTGGCCAGGCCTGGGCTCAGCCCCCCAGTTGGCAAGGCTCCCTTGGTGGCATGGATAAAATGAAGATCTTTCTTTCTCTCTCACTGGCACTTAAAGGGTACTTGTTTGGCTCTTACAACTTTACGATGATCATTAAAACATTCCTGGAAGCTACTTGGCAAACTCAGAGCTATGTGTTGCTTTCACTGCGCACTGTTGTGATTATAGGAAAAAGGGAGGATAATTACTTAGATGCAAAAATTAAAACATTCTTACTAGAGTAAAAAAAGCTCATCTTAAGATTCATTCTTTTGTGCACAAGTATTTCTGGAGCACTACTCCATACCAGGCATCAGGGAGTTCCTAAATAGTAAAAACACCCTCATGTGCTCACCAGCAAATCATCTCTGCAGCTGGGATGAACCTGGAGTTTTAAGTTAATCTGGGGGGGGGCGCAGGTAGTACTGTGTAGACTCCGGAGAGGGAGGGAGGAATTTGGCCCTGGTTCTCACCCATGGTTCTCAAACTGAGCCAACAGTAACTCAGCTTTGAGAGCTTCCAAGTCACATATCCTTCAGGACAATCTGAACTACTCTTATCATGAGAATGAGAAAGCCAAGGAGCATGTGCAGCCTAGAAGTAGGTGAAAGCAACATGAGCCTAGAGGGCCCAGCGAAGAAGGCCAGTGCTTCTCACTCTACCTCTTGCCTACCTCATCCTGAAATTTCAGTTCTTACCAAAAGTATAAGGCCAAGTACTAACAGACAAACAAGCTGCCACTCATTACAAAAGACAAGGGAATCACAAAGAGAAGCACACAGTTCTATACCCTGAGTATTTTGTGCGCACACGTGTGCGCACACACACACACACACACACACACACAGACAAATCAAAGAGCAGCTAATATGGTTACAACACACTATGCTAGAGAAGTGCTAGAAGGAGCAGCCTCACTTCCTATAATCAACACGAAGTTCACAAAACTTAGATACAATGATACCCTGGCTTCAAGTGAAAAAAATGACCACGTGAAAGGCTGTGAATGTCCCTTCAGTTTACATTGGGGAAGAGGTTGTGTATAAACCTGCGGAGTGGAGGATAAATAGAACATAGGAAAAGCAAACCCAACAACGGCAGAAAGGATTGACTGGAAAGAGAATGATCAACTTCTTGGGCGCTGAGGTTCTACCATTCTTAACATCCTCTGAATAAATCACATGATAACCCCATACTCTTAAAGATGAGGATGGTGGCTTACACCTGTAGTCTCAGGAATTCAGAATGCAGACATCAGGAAAATTGAGGTTTCAGACCAGCCTGATCCAAACCTTAGCAAGACCTCAATTAAGAAGCTACAGGGGAGGCTGCTAAATAGGAGGATGGATCACAGTCAGAGGTAGTGGGCCCTGAACAAAACCCACAAGGCCATACCTGAAAAGTAGTCTATGAAAAGAAAAAAAAAGAGGATATGGCTAAGTGGTAGATCACCTGCAAGTGCAAGGCACCCAAAATTCAAGCTGCAGTACTGCCATAAATAATTAAAAGCCTAGGACAGGGTACAGTCCAAATAACTTGTTCCTCCTGGCCCAAAGCTCTAGAAGTGACGGCAAGCATCCATCCCTTCCAGTGGCCTGGTGGTCATTATGCTCAGCTCCACTGCAGGCCTCCTGCTGTCCTGGACTGGCAGAGTCCACTCACCCCAGGTGCTGTGCTACCAGACAGCTGCCACACTT